TATCGATCATTTTATCACTGTATTCTGCTTCGGTGTGTGAGTTAAAATGTGAAGTGGTCGCATTGGTGCGAGCGAACAATTATCATTTATTAGTTTTGTTTTTGTTTTACGCAGTACAGGCAGCTACTGCGTTAGCAAATATGACTTGTATTTCTTCTGTGGCTCGTTCAGTCTGTTTCTGCCTGATGCGCAAAACAAGCTGTTGATCTGATGTTTGTTTTCAACCAACAGAGAGTTGGAGGTGTGACTCAGATGGTAACGCAGTAGTAGGGCTGTAAAATTAACTAATTATTAATCACAATCATGATTTTAGCTTCTAGCCACTATATGAAAATGATTGACTATGGTCTTTACATTTTTAAATGTGCTCTGCTCATAAAAGGTTTTCTGTTTTCTCCGCTCATGGAAAACAGCACAGGTGGATAAAAACCCTTGGTTTCATCTTGGACAAACCTGATTTTAGAACACTTAATTTTACTGTTTTCAAACTAATTTTTGGTCTCACACACCTGTCTGAGCTCAGCGCAGCCACCCAGGAGCAATGTGAGGCGTTTAGGGAACCTCAGTATATATGTAATGTAGAGTCCATCGATAAGTAAGTGTTCAGGTTGGTGTTACACCTGTGACCAGGTGGGAGGTGCGACTCGTGAAAATGTTAGTCTGGGGCCTTGCTGGGTAGTTTAATCTACTGTAATACATGTTTTCTTACATATTTTGCATTACTCATCTAAGGCAGAAAAATAACGATAATAAATCAGATCATTTTCCACCCCTGCCAGCAGTTATCACCATCGTGCTGCACATCTTTATCTGCATTTACATCCATTAGCTATACACTGCTTAATCCTCACAAGGGTCGCAAGGGGCTGGAGCCTATCCCAGCTGACTCAGGGTGAAGGCAGGGGACACCCTGGACAGGTCACCAGTCTATCACACGGCTACACTTAGAGACAGACAATCAAGCACACTCACATTCACACCTACGGACAATTCAGAATCACCAATTAACCTCAGCATGTTTTTGGACTGTGTGGGAGGAAGCCGGAGAACCTGGACAGAAGCCACGCTACTGCCCTAACTGTGACCAACCTGGGATCTTCTAGCTGTGAGGCGACAGTGCTAACCACCAAGCCACCATGCAGCCCCATCAAAATGCAGCTCTGCCTTACAATACACAAACTCAGCTCAACTTGTTATCACATATCAAACCTTACAGCTGGCCCCCTCACACCTTACTGACCTTCTCCAGCATCACACTCTTCAAACCTCTTCAGAACCTACTCCTCTGGTCCTCCATCTTACTTTTCTTTCACTCTATTTCCATGCTCAAGTGTAGGTTTGATTCTCCCAGCAGCCCTGTCACATACTCAAGCAGAGGTAAAGTAAGTACTTAGACATTTTATTTAAGTAAATGTAGCGGTGCCTTACTTTATATTTAATATACATCACAAGAAAAAACCCTGAAATCATCATTTACTTTGGTAAAAAAGAATGTAAAAGTAAGTGCAAAAACTGACTTAAAGCATCCCAACTATTCACAGGCAACAGAATGGTCCTGTTTCAGTGTTACATCATTGCATCATTTTTTTATGCAGTACTTCTACATTTCCAACAGCCTTGACTTTACTTTGTGTTTACTGTGAACATGCTACAGTTAAGCCTCAAATTATTCATACCAATGCCAAATTGACCAAAACCCAAAGAGCTCAGGGAGCTCGGTATTAGGGCCCATCGTTGATTTGTACATGCTGGCTGACATTTCTCCAGCAGGGACAGATCCGGCTGCTGACGGTCAAAGTCAAACTGAAACGTAGTGGGGTTGGGAGGGTGGGGGGCCACGCACGAGGGTCAAATGACCCGACAACAGCTGGTGCCCGCTAACTGAGACACAGCCAACAAATGTAACCTTCATCTGCTTCATTCAGACCAGCAGCCACAGCTTTTTATCAGCCCAGATCAGAGGGACACACAGGATTCACACCCAACCACGCAGCAGCCCCACATACAAATAAGCAACATCAGAGAGCAGCAGAGCGTGAAGACACTCAGCAGCGACGCCGCCAACAACAACCAGTGTATTTCAGTTTTGCAATTCCAACATGCAGATCTAAGGCCCAGAACACATGTACCTGCATCAGTGTCTGCATCAGTCGCTACAGAGCTGCAAGAGGGTTTTCATTTTTCCAAATTGTTCTACATTAAAACAACCACAAACACTTGGTGGAATATTCATATTAATTGAGTGCAGATGACACATCCATCCATCCATCCATTATCTATACACCTCTTAATCCTCACTAGGGTCACAGGGGGCTGGAGTCTATCCCAGCTGACTCAGGGTGAAGGCAGGGGACACCCTGGACAGGTCACCAGTCTATCACAGGGCTACACTTAGAGACAGACAACCAAGCACACTCACATTCACACCTACGGACAATTTAGAATCACCAATTAACCTCAACATGTTTTCGGACCTTGTGGGAGGAAGCCGGAGAACCCGGAGAGAACCCATACTGCACGAGAACATGCAAACTCCACGCAGAAAGATCCTGGGTGTCCCCACCGGGACGCGAACCAGCGACCTTCTTGCTGTGAGGTGACGATGCTAACCACCGCACCACCTTGCAGATCACAGATGAATCAATCATTTGTAAAGTTTAAGAAATTTATAAAATGGATTGTGAAAAAGCAGGGGGGGAAGTGCTAGTAAGGCTGCATTCTCTCAGTGTTTTTGCTGTAAGACCAGGAACAAAATCCTTTCTTTAAAGATTACACAGTTTAAACCAGATTCATATCTTATCACACCAACGTTCCCCAGCAGGCACCTTTTGTAGGATCTGCAGGTGAAGAGACTTAAGAAACTATAAAACTGGATTAACTTCAGTAGAAAATTGGCATTTTTAAAATTTCTAGACACCATATAACAATTTACCAGCATTCATATTTATATATTTCAGCATGTTTCAAGGCCGACATGAAGTTAAAATATAGTTATTTAATATAGCACTAGAAGTCGCCATTGACCCAGGAATCAAAGTTGCTCCAACAGAAGAACTGCTCCTCCACCATGATGAGGCTGACCTAGCTGATACTGCATTAACTAGACCACGACTGCAAAAGGGACAATGGGACCGGGCAGCAGATGTCAGTCTGCACCTCTTTCCCATAAAATGCAGCATGCGGTAAAATACACGAACATTAACTTGAGTTTCAGTCACCGAACAGTTGAACCAGATCTGAAAGTACAAATAGTTTTCAGTGTGAATAGCAGTCAGTGATTTAAGACTCACTTGAGTGTCTGACTTTCAGTGACTCAAAAAACTGTATTTGCCTTTGTTGTGATTTGCTGTTAGTATTGTTCATATTGTCATTTTAATCCTGTAATGACCTTAATGGCTTTTAGAAGGACTGTGCCTCAACACTGGAGGGATCTATTCCCTGTCTCATTACCATGGGGACACCTACGATGTGTCTTTTGCAGCTTGTTTTACAGCAGCTACAGTGCACTTCAATGGAGACCCGGCATTACTGTACAGTAAAAACATGTCAAAACCTAAACAGACACCTTAAGAAACCGATCTGTATGTTCATCATTTCAATTAATCAGGAACTTTCAGCAGAGCTGCAGAGATATGTGTGGATCAAAGATAAAGTATTAATGTTTAAATCATGTGAATCTATGCGTAGAAGCAGATATTGCTGCAGGAGTATTTGAGAAGTTTTTCTAAATGTTTGGAGTTTTTTTCTTTAAAATCACAAGACCTGCTAAAGCGAAAGAGCAAGGGGCATACTTTTTTGTGAATTAATGAAATACCCAGCTTCTTACCATCATCCAGCGTGATCTCATGGAGGCCCAAAGAACCCAGATTTGGCTGGTCCTCTGGTTCCTTCTTGATGGTCAGCCTCGGTCCTGGGTTGGACAGCACAGCTTCCTTCTGGGGGTCAGCGGCAGTTACAAAGGCACTTCTCGAGCTTTGCGAAACAGGAGACTGTCCCCTACGTGGTCCCCCGAGGGAAGTGTTTGGAGAGATGGCAAAGCTCTGAAGAGGGACCGAAGAGCCTTGGGGAGGAATCGTGGTCATCTGAGGAGGGATGGTGAAGGTCTGAGGAGGCATGACGGAAGTCTGAAGTGCAATCAAGGTCTGATGGGGGCTTAGGGTGGTCTGTGAAGGCATGGAAGGAGTATGGAGAGGGATGGAAGAGGTCTGAGGAAACATTAAGGTCTGAAGGGAGACAGAGGAGGGAGGAGGGTGGTGGAGACGGGGGGCATTTTGGGAAGCAGGACCACAACGTACCGGGAGGTCACAGGAATCATAATAAACTACGTCTGAGCTGAGCACTTGGTCAGGGGAGGGTGCCTCGGCGGAGGGAGGACAGAAGGAGATAAGGTCTGGCTCCCAATGCTCCTGTTTGACTCCAGCAGCCAGCGAAGGGTGACGTCTGATTCCAGGCAGGTAGGTGAAGCTCTGTGCTAGACTTCTTCTTCTCTTCCCATTTGAAACATAGAACTGGACTTGGACTGGACAAGTTGTCTTCTTATTGTACGGAGGAATCTCCACCACAATGCTGGACTGAAAGACAAGAAACACACACACATTGAAGAGGACTGTGACATCTCAGGGTCAATTCACACTGCTTCTGCATATAACACTCCCTGAGGTTCCTTCCCACTGTTGCCGACCGCTTGCTCAGAGGGAGTCCAAAGGCAACTTTGGCCTATTTCTCTCAAATATTGTTCACAAATTTGTCCAAGACCCTGTTCACACGAAGCAAAAACGGTGATATTTCAATGTATTTGGGCCTTTTGTTTACACGTAAACAAAGCTACAAGCCACCGAAAACGAGCATATCTGAAAACTCTGGCCACAGTGGAGATTTTGAAAAACTCTGTCGTTAAGTTTGCATGTAGACAAGAGGAGATGGAGATAGACGTCACAGTATGCAGCAAAAGCGTCATCAGCGTCATACGGGTGCAACCATGTTTACAGTTTGGCTATTGTGATAGAAATGGATGCTGTTTTACTTGTTTTGTACTCCAACACCACATTTAGGAGTAGCTCCACTTCTCTGTTGGTCCAAACAAACGACCCTCGCACCATTATCGTTGAAGTAACAGGAAGTAATTCATTGTTGTGTTTTTTTTCCAGGATTCTGATTAGCTAGCATGGTTTTATGCTTATCGTTGCACTGCCCCCTGTAGGTCTGGCATGCTCATAGCATCTCTTAACAACGTGTTCATGCAGGTTTGTGTAAACAAAGATTTTTTTGAAAACGATCTGGTGTGAACAATAATATTTTTGAAAACGTAGATCCGTTTTTGTAAATACCCGGCTATGTGTAAATGAGGCCTGAGTCTGTGTTAGTGAGCACTTTTCCTTTTTCTGAGATACTCCATCCACCTCACAGGTGTGGCATATCAAGGTGCTGAATAGACAGCATAATTATTGCACAGGTGTGCCTTAGGCTGGCCACAATAAAAAGCCACTTTAAAATGTGCGGTTTTATCACACAGCACAATGCCACAGATGTCGCAAGTTTTGAGGGAGCGTGCAATTGGTTGCTGACTGCAGGAATGTCCACCAGAGCTGTTGCCCGTGAACTGAATGTTCATTTATCTACCATAAGCCGTCTCCAAAGGCTTTTCAGAGAATTTGACAATACACCCAATTAGCCTCACAACCGCAGACCATGTGTAACCACACCAGGACCTCCACATCCAGCATCTTCACCTCCAAGATCATCTGAGACCAGCCCAGGTGTAAAACAAGGGAGATAAAGACCTGGTTCCACCATGGTACAATAGCATCTGCCTTTGCCCCCCACTCGTCTTTGCAGAGATGGAATGACAATGCCATGAATATATTTGTAATAGTTATATTTTAATATTTTTAATGTGTTTATGTTTATTCATTTACGCATTTAACACATCAGATGTTGGCACTACATGTTGGCAAAAAAGAGAACAAATATTCAAATCACTGTGGTGAATCCTTCTCAACTGACGAAGTTCTGATTTCAGTACAGCCCTGCATTTTGGACACCACCCTATCCAGCATGTGTCAGAGAGCTCTCTCCGTCTGTTCCTATTATTTCTATAATTTTGCACACAGTATTTATTATTATTCCTGTTTCCATATTCCAATTTTGTAACACGGAACCCAGGACATCCTGGTGATGTTGGTACTTACTTCACTGCCTTTTTCTGATAGAACTCTAGCATCCATTTCCCACAGTGATCGTCCATCTGAAGGGACAAAACATGTTCAATTTATCACAAAATTTCACAAAATTTCAACTTAAAGTAAACGGTAATAAATTGATCTTACCAGGCCCTTTCTCCATGAAAACAACCCTGGACTGAGCAGAGATGTTGGATCCGGTGATGAACAGCTCCTGTCCTCCGTCTACAGAGCCGCTGGTTGGATTGAAGCTCTCCAACTGAGGAAGCTCTTGGCCTGAGCGTTGGGCTGAAAAGCAACAGTTTTGTTTTACAGTTTAGGTATAACTGATGTTTCTTCCTGTTACATGACAGAGCATTTCTGTGCAAACAGAAGAAACAGGCCCCTAGAAGACTGTTCTATGATGAAATTTAACACAAGCATTAGGAAATATCTAACATTCCCAAAAATGAAAAAGTCTTTCTGTGGCTGAATATATTGTACTGTTGATATCACAAGTTTTCACTCACAACACTCCACAGGAACAGACACTGTCTGCAGCCACAGCATCTGACCATCCGGATGAGGAACAGCCACCCTGAATACAACTCGCACCCTTGTGTTCTTCCGGCCGATATCAGTCTCTCCTTTCTTCAGCTCAATGTCAGCGTTACGCAGCTTCAGGATGCCAGCGCAGTCAATGCTTCAGAAAAGAAGTCCAAAGTTTGAAGTTTTAGTTTAATCATAGTTTTCATAGTTTTGAGCATTATCTAGTGCATTAAAGGCATCCCATGGAGTTTCTGACTTCTAGCATGTTCAAGAAAAATGCTTGCATCTCGTGCTTCACTAGCAGGCACACAGGCATTCAGTTTTGATAGGTGACATTACCTCAAAGAAATGGCATGTATGAAAAGCAGGACATAGCAGCCCCTCTAAATAGATGCTGAAATCAGAACCACTGCTACTACTATCTGGTTAGTTCTGCTACTGCAACTACTACTGCTGCCAGTTTAATTTCTGCCACTAGTACGACCACAACTTCCACAACATGACTGAGCAATATTCAGATGAGCACTACTTTTACTGATATTACCTCTGCTCTTACTGTGTCTAAAACTACTGTTTGTGCCAAAGACAGCTACCTATAATATCTCCCAAAAACTTTTTTTTAGCATAATGGCCAGCCTAGAAATGTCTTTGGGATTTCATAAGCAATAGAGCAGTGTGTCATCAGCATAGAAGTGAATGGTAAGATGGAGTCTAGAAATGAGTATTGTGACAGTTTTTGCATGACCCCCCCCTGCAGAACCTTTAATTAGGGGAGAAAAATGTACCTGTTGGTAGGTACTTCTAAAGAGCCCTGAAAAACTGCTGTGCAGGTGTCAGAGCTGACTGGTTAAAATTTAGAGAAGACGAAGGACAACTAGTTAAACTTGGAGAGGAATACATGTGTCCTTGTTTCTGTCATGTCAGCGTCCTTGTCGAGACGCAATCTTCTCCTTCTCCTAACCAACATCAACGTCACATGACGTAACAGTTGCCATATAGGCTAACAACAAATCTCCAATGTTGTATTTTTTATGTGTTCATACAACTAGAGCTTTGTCTAGTAACTACTATTTGGCATTTGAGGTCAAAGCTGTCAGATCCTAGTCCACAATGGAATCAAAACGGTTGAAAGGGCCAACCGTGGGGCTGTTGCTGTACATGTTTGTGTCACCTCACCTAATGCTATACAAGAGTTTTTGAGCAAAAAGTCTGTATAATTTTAAAAATAACAAATTCTGATTTGCTACTGTTGCCGTTGATACCTGGCAGACATGTTGTTTTCTGGAAGCAGAAGGATCTCCAAGACTTTGGTGCAGCCCATTATTTTCTCCTGGCAGATGGTGGTAACTGTCTTCCCTGTCACTCGGTGGACCTGGTAGAAGGAATGAGGCCGAAGGTATCGGTCGTCCGCGGTGCCTATAAACAACAGCAGGCTGACCGGCTGCTCGCTGTATCCATTCAACTGCAAACATAAATGCAACAATCTGATAAACAGGTGCTCGTTCTGACATCTCAACACTTGACTTGTTGAAACCTGGAAGGTGAGGCACCAGTACACTCTGTCTTCAGAAAGGCTGTTAAAAGAAACTTTTGAGAAACATACTTTTTCTTGCAGAAAGCCAGATGTGAACACTGACATCAAGGACAAGAAAGACACCAGAACACAAACAGAAACATAACAATAAATATTTTTATGTTTTTGCATGCACTTAATGTGTTTTTTTATTGAGCTTTGTTTAAATGTGTTATGTGCATTTTTGAACTCTCGACAGGCCAGCCTTGCTAACCTCTAAACCTGTATTGTTTGTATTAAAAGCTCAGTGTCCAGCTTGTCTGACAATATTGAAGGCAAAAGCAACAAGTTATGAATCAGTGTTAAGTAAATGAAAACTATAGACATAAACTGGTCCAGTTCACTGATAAATAAATTGATCAAGATGATTAAACAAAAAGTAAGTGTAAATATGAGGTAGACATTGATTGCAAAGGCAGGATTTGCTTTCATCATTGTAAAATAAAAGACTTGAAAAACAATATAAGTGAAGCTGGCGAGACGTTGGGAGGAGGACTGTTGATTTTAGCTAGTTAGCTTATTTACATAGTATGGGTGCATGACACATGATGTGTGTAGCGCAAAATTCTAATCACAGGAAGTACAATGTCAGGTAACGCAAATTAACTCAAACATGTCATGTTGCAACTTTTTTGCTGCCTCATAGAAAAAGAAAACTCTCACTGTTATCATTTCCTAATCTAGGAGAGGAGTCCTGATACCAATTAACACAGTAGCTGAACATGGTGTTAAACGCACGACCTGGTCACTTGACAAGCCATCTGTAATACCATTAAACGGCTATTTCAGGTTGCCATCTTGGAGCTGTCGCAGTTGAATATTATGAAGCTAAAACAAACTTGTGGGTCAGCCACATAACGAAGCTCCACATACATCTAACCGTCTACTCTAACAAAGAGGATCAACATCTGCAAAGCTGTTAGCATTCTTACTAGATGATCATATAAGTGAGACAACACAGGGAGGATGACAGTAGCATTGGCTGATGGGGTCTTGTTAAGAGACTTCGAGTCCATCTAAGAACAGAGAATGTGGTGAACACAGTGAAGGCTGACACACTAAACAAGTGCATCAGGCTGCATCTTGCAGTTGGTAACTTATATACTGTATATACAGCAACAATGTGCAGCCCAATAATACTACTATAGTTGGCATATGAAAGCTTTTCTGTCGCTCTCTCTCCACTGCCTTCCTCCCTTTCTCCCTGTCTTGTGTATGAGCACAAACATGCACAGGGTTCACTGGAACAGCGTTGTTTAGATCAGCCTGTGCCACTTTGTTTCCCATTTACAGAGCCAGGGCTGCGAGCAAATACTAGATTGTTTTTTCTGCGCACACACAGAATGGACAGCCAGTGGGCCGGAAAAACATTTTACCTGAATGTGACAAAGGTCTATTGGATAACAATTGCACACTCCAACTTTAAGTCAGTTATAATTAAGGTTCAATTCAAGTCCACGGAATTGTTTTTATATAGTGCAAAATAATAACGCAAGTCATCTCAAACACTACCCTAGTGAGGATTAAGCGGTGTATAGATAATGGATGGATGGATCTCAAACACTAGACATAGTAAGGTCAAGACATTACAGTACTGTGGAGCGAAAACCAACAAAAACTTCTGTTCTCTTTGTGGATTTCACACAAAAAACAAAACAGTAATTGGTGTGACTGTGTGTTTCCTGTGTAACCCAGCAGCACTCTGCTATCCTTGTCTTGACAGTAACCACTGTGAGTTTTAACACATCTTGCAGCATCTAGCTCATCTAGCTTCAGCAGCAGCCTGAGAATGCGACACCAAGAATAGCCCTGCTGGTGTCCGTTACATATGAGGCCTTGATGGAGCTTTACTTGCCACAGCCTGCCTCTGTTGTCTGATCCAGACCATCCAGGCTGTTCACCCACAGCCCCAGCAACACACAACAGTAATGTCAATAACAAGAATTTAGATAAGAGTATTTATCAATAAGATTTTTATTTTTTTTTTACTACGCTATCAATCAGTACTTTAACCAATTTCACCAATTTTTTGTCAGTTTAAAATGACACATAGATTAATTTGATCACTGTATGTCATAGGAACCCTTTCCCTGAATTGGAGAATTATTATTTTCATTGGTGTTCATTACATTGGTGGAGTTAAGATAATCCTGGGCAAATGAAATGAAACCAAACAGTCTGTATTGCTAGTTAAAGCCCTTTTCTCGATCATGCATGGCTGGTAGAGATCAGACATTGTTCGATGACTCATGATGCCATGTTAAAGCTACAGGTGGTCACAAAACCTGGCACTGCGCAGACTCTCATGGACTTGGGTGGATGATGACATTCACGTCACATGGACCCTTGCGGATGCGGCCCAAAGCCTGAACTGGCCTTTATCTTATCATAACAGCAGCAGTGTGGAAATTACGTTGCACATGAAATTATTTATCACTCTGCCGATCTCCTAATAAAATAAAAACAAAAATATTTTTATTGCCATGTGGTAGCAACATATAAATTAGCCAAAGGTATTTAGAGTTCACTTTGAGTTTGATCAACTTTTAAGAAGAAAGTTACACAACACAATTATTAAAAAGTTACAGCAGCATTAAAAGACTCTGACTCAGGAAGTGAGACCTGACAGCAAAAGTCAGAATCAAATTGCAAGCAAGGTTTTCATTATAAGTGACAAATGAAGGTATTGCCAGGCTGAACGTATTGCAACAAAGGCCTCACCTTGATGACAGGATGTCCTCCAGTAGCTGCCTTGATGGATCCCCGGCTGCCCTCAGTCTCGTAATGGGCCCTGTGGTAGGACCTGGGCTGGACCTCCAGCTTTAACTCACACTGGTCATACTGATTGGGCAAAGGCCAGTCCAAGGGAGGTGGCGATGACATCCTGGAGGCAGAGACAACGGCCATGTCAGTATCATGCTGATGAAACCAGTCGCTTATGCTGTTCCTTACATTGATGAGCCAAAACATTACAGCCACTGCTGCCTATTATGTTGTCAGTCATTTAGTGTCAACCTACACTTTCAACACACTGAGGCACGGACCTTCACCCTGAGTCAGCTGGGATAGACTCCAGCCCCCCGTGACCCTTGTGAGGATTAAACAGTGTATAGATAATGGATGGATATTATATACTTTGAGATTTTTTTTGTTTTTTTTTACTGCTTGCCAACCCACTTTCAGCCTATTTTTAAGGCATTAAATCTGAGCCCATGTTTAAACAACCATATCTCAGGAACTATTAAAGATAAAAGCTGAAAGTAGTTGAAATTTAAAAAAATAAAATAAAATAAAAATAAAGGCCTCATGGGAAGTCCCATCTTTTATTACATGACAACAAAAAAATGATAATGCAGAAGTCAGCCAGTAATATTTTCTGAACCACATGCAGTTGCATGTCACAATAACACAACACAAAACACATGGAATACTTGATATGATGAAATACCTAATGACAAAAATGGCAAAGAATATATATGTTTGCTTAACCTTCATCGCTGATTGGGCAGGTATGACAAATTTTATTACAAAAACCAAAATACTGCTAGACAGCCTCATCCAAGTAGAACAGATTTAAGGTGTTTCAAAGTGGATGTTTTTCTCAATGTAACGGAGAAGAAGCTTTTTTTATATGGCCATTTTTTTCCATTTTCTGATCCCCCTGTGTAAGCTGGAGAAATAAAATGAACTCTTAACTTATCTATTATACTTACCAAGTTGATATGCTTATGGGAAGTGATAGGAAGATGGTAAGATGGTAAGAGAGGTAGGCAGTTACTATGAATATACTTTCTAATCTTGTCCAGTGTGGGATATTGATCTTGAAGGCCAAGTTTATTCCAAATGCAACACAAAGCAAGAAAATCCATTTTGATCCTATCAAACAGTTTCCACAATGATCATGAGAATAAATTGACCACTAAAGATTTGCTTACATAAATACACCAGATTACCATTAAATGTATGTCAAGGCATGAATATTCCAGTTGGAAAAATCCTCTATTCCAACATGTTTGGTCATGGTTATATCTTGCTGATGTCATCCTAATGACCGAATGCAGTGATAATTCACAAAGAAATTACACAAAACTATTTCTCTGTCCAACCAAGGCTTGTGCCCACAAAGTGGGGTCTGAAAATGAAAAACATGCCAGTGTTAAAAAATAATTTTATTGATTATATTGGGAGAACCATTTTGAAACTCCAGAATTCAATTCTACTTGGATTAGTCTATTTAGCAATATTTTTGGTTTTGTGGTACAACTTTTGCATATATGCTCAGTTATGAAAATTCAATAAAAACAACTTTCACTGTTGCGACCAACTATTTCATATTCAAAAGTATTCTATATGTTTTGGTATGTATTGATGTGACATACAACTACATGTGGTTCTGAAAATGTCACTAGTTGACTTCTAGATCATCAATTAGTTGTTCATATGTGTCTAAAGATGAGACTTTTCATAAGGGCTTCACTTTCTTTTTGGAATTTTCACTCACTGATAATCAGAGACTACTTGATCTACTTGTTAAATAGTAAAAATTCTAAATCAATGACATGATGAAAAACAACTGACAATTCCTGGCTTTTATCTAAAACAGTTCTCAAGAACTGTCATTTAAACATAGCCTTAAATTTCAATGCCCCAAAAAACGTGATGAAAGTGGGCAGTTTTTAATCTTTGAAAAAGTATTCCATATATCGAGATAAAATTTCACAAATATCTTAATACAATTTGCTAGTTTATGATAAAAAAAATAAAAAATCCAGCAAATCCAATTGTTGAGTAACAATGTTCTAAAAACGTCATGATTTGAGATGGAATGAGCCAATAGCAAAGCCTGCTACAGAAACCTTGCCCACTGCAATAATGCTGTAAAATGACTCCCCTCTGTGCAAGGAGAGCAAACTTATCCTCTGTGGGATTTTGCACATTCAACTTTATTTTTCGGTATGTTTTTCTTTCTTACCTCATGTCAGCTCAATGTAACTTATGTGCATTTTGTAAATCTGCATCACTAAGATTTCGCTTACAGGATGTATATGGCACTCTATCTGTTTATTGCCAACCTGAACAATGGAGAGGCTCCAGGTTTGGGTTTGTTCCAGCTGAAGTGGGAGGGCACCTGAAGGAACAGCACAGCCACGCCATCTTTTTCCTGCCCGTCTTCTCTGGGAGAATCCTGAAAGGACTCCAGACCAGCGTCTCCTTGACCAGTCAGGAGGCCCAGCTGGCTCCCTGATGTCCTCCTGGTCTTGGAGGGGACATCCAGCTCCTGGTAACCAGACATTAGGAGGGGTCCGGGGGCACCAGCAGGACTTCCCACCCAGGTGTCATCTGTCACGCTGCCACGTGGGGAGGCACCAGGAGTGGGGCTGGGTGAGTGGTGAGGGGAGGGTGACCGGGCATGAGGGTCAGCACTGGAGTGGCGTCTCTTCCCGCACGGGGAGGTTGGTCTGGATGACGGCCTGAGAAAGGAGGTCAGGATTAGAACGATTTTAACGTCTTTCTTATTTATTTTTTTAATTAATTAATTAATTAATTAATGCACAAAAAATGTTGGGTATTAATGAAAAATGTATACTCAACATTTGACCCAAAATGTAAAAATAAAGTTGGCTTTCTGTACTAAATTAAATCCTCTCTGTCTTTTCTGAACTGTAGAACTCTTGTGCACTCTAGTTTTATGTCTGCTCTTTCACGCTGTCCCATCATTTCTTCATCAGTTAAAAACATAAAAAAAATATGATGTGCTTTACAAATAACAACTAATCTGGTACTCGTCACTGCGTTCTGTGTCACAAGATTAGATGGACTTCCCTACTGACTAGATCGCCTTACCGCTGGCTGCTGCTCCCTGTGTTGTTGTTCAATGTGAAGCAGGGCTATAGGTCTGTGAAGCCCTCACTACTGGTTACACAGACTTTGAAAACTAAGACTACATTCATAGTAATAAGTTTTCATGTCAAAACAGCGTTAAATAAGAGTGTAAAACGAAAGCGATCTCCATCCAGACAAGATTTTAGCACTATTCCAGAAATCATCTCCATCCATTAGCATACCTTTTAAAGGCATATCACGTGGCCATTCATGTACGCTGTGAAAGTATGCTAGTGCAAACAATTTCTGCCCCTTCTGACTAAAAGAGTTTTCAAAAGTGAAGTAAAGTTAGCTCCATTTACAAAAGTCTCATTTAGGGATCCTAAAATGTCAGAGTAGTGTGGACTCTTGTGGGAAATGTAGCAGAAGCTATGCATTTTAAAAGCAAAAGATTAGGGTAGACGTAGCCTCAGAGGGACGTGTTTTGCCCTTGTTAATGATTCTTGTAGTCAGGTTCCATTTCTGCCTATCCAGACTTAAATGCAACCCCAGAGTTTTCAAAAGTAAAGTCATTTATAAAAGCCTTGATTCAAGGGTCGTAAAATGCCAGAGTAGTGTGGGTGTTTTAAAACAAAAACATTGTAGTGCGTATGTAGCCTCAGAGGGACATGTTTCACCCATACTTGTCTTCAAGTCTTACTTGAGAAAACAGTCTCATTCCCAGTGATAGTACCTTATTAAACAAAGAAAGCTCTCACTTAGAAGTTTGGACAAGATTATGACTTTTACCTGGAAGTGGGCCGGCGGTTCAGCCAGCTCTCCTCGGTGACACTGGTGCGAGGGGAGTGGCAGGGTGATTGGCGGGGTGACTGACGGGGTGACTGATGGGGTGACAGTGCTGGGCTGAAGGCTGAAGGATGCTGGTACTTCTGCTGCCAGAGCTCCACCCCAAAGGCCCCACCCCCACAGCCTGGGGACCCCAGAGGTGACCCGAGAGGAGACCCCAGAGCAAGGCGGGCTGCATCGCGCAGCTCCCCCTCCATGTCATCATAGACATGGGAGAAGGACTCGCAAGAGGATAAGTCAGACATCCAGCTCCTAGAGGACAGGCTGCTGCAGGGGCTTGGGCAGAGTGCTGGGTCTCGGTAGCAGGGGTCCAGAGGCAGGTAGAGCTGGTCTCTGGACCAGGACGCCTCAAGGTAACCCCCCTCTGCACCACCTACTGCTGAAACTACTTGACTACTGCCGGGCTCCACATGGTTGTTGGGAGCAATGGAGGTGATCTGAATGCTGGGGCAGTCAAAGGCTCTGGGGTTGCCCTTGGTGCTGTAATGGTGCCCTTCAGAGTGGCAGCCAACATGCTGGTAGCTGTCTGTGGTGGGGAAATATGAAGGGTGACTCTGCAGCTCATGGCTGAGGGGTTGCCCAGCCAGAGCCTGTGTTGAGGAGGGAGGCGTCCTCGCATCTAGATCTGGACCTGTGAGGTGTAAGAGATGAAGCAATATGTAAATCAGATGTCTGATCATTTGCATTGCAAATGTGTGTGCATGTGTGTTTTAAATATTAGTACGCACTAGTAGTTCTCCAGTAGACACCTGACAGTTACTGTTCACCAGCATATAGCCAGCAGGAAGATTCAGACTAGTGACAGAGAAACTACTTCAGAGTAACAAAAATAACTGTCAGTAGCAGTTCTACCTCTGTTTGTATGGCGAACCATCAAATGCTATGGCTGTCAAGTGACACATGTTACATGATACAGAGGAGCAGTATAAACATATCTCTACAACACAAGTTTAACTCATGTGGAGTTTTTTGTATTTACTCAAATCTTCTTGATGAGACACAAGATAATTTTATCTGAAATAAAACGAAACACCACTTTTGGTTTTACCATTTTCACAGATGAGCAAATGCTCACCAGCCAACAGGAAAGGTTCTGATAACAGACAAGCTCGTTAAGGTTGCAGTTATGAATCAGGACCTACATTAATTTAAGAACATGTCTGTTGTTTAGTGCTGAGTGTTTAGTGGCTGTAGTGACTTGTATTTACTATTTACTATGTACTATGTAACGTGATATTGGTCTGCCTCATGGTAAAGCTGTCAGTAGCCACAGTACAGCAAGTCTACAGCAGCAGTTAACAGCACATGCAATGGACTAATTATGCTGACAGATTATCTGCAGCAGTTAAGTATGTTTATTCACACAGCTGCACACAATCCCCACCACAACCCTACTATTAATACTCCTGTTT